ACGCAGCTGCGTTTTGAACTCCTTAAGAGAAGCTGGGCGATAGAGAGATGTGTCTCCCAGATGATGTTCTGTTATTTCACAGTCGAGTTGTCTGGGAATCACTACAAACTCCCCTCCTTTATCACTGACGGATAACCTTATAGTTCGAGACTTTATCAGGTCTCGAAGTTCCGTAATACCACGTGCTTGCTCCCTTGAAATATTAGATGTGATGTTTTGCTTTCGGAACCTACTCAGCACCTTGAAAACGTCGTCGGCAAAACCCGGAAATTGGCATCACAATGTGTGGTTACTGTTGTTTGAAAAACGTGGCGGGAAGGGAATGATGAGCACATTTCTTACCTGGTCTGCCACTAAGGAGCCGTTATCACACTAAGAACTTGAAAAATAACCCGAGTGGTTCATTGTTACCATCGCCATCGAGAGTGGCCCTGCAAGATGTTTGTTTTGTGACTTTAGGCCTACGTTTGGTTCTTTTTGTTTTTGTTTCCAATGGTATGTTACGTATCTCCGGAGGCAAAACTATGAGTGAGTCGAAAGGAACTCTGATTGGTTCTTCTTTCTCGCTAATGTGTGACAAAAGAGCAGAGTATTCGCTGATTTCTACCACCCCATAGGGACCACCCCAAGGTTCACACAGTTTCGGGAAAGCCCTCCTATACTTTTCTCGTGGGAGCTTCAGGAAAACTCTGTCTCCTACTCTTGGCAATTTCCCTGGATCAGTTTTGTGACGTTTATCGTACGCATCCTTCATTCTTGCTTTGTATTTTTCATTGAATTCGCTGGCACACTCTTGCGCCAATCGAATCCCCGCCAGAAGCTCGTACTTGTAATCATCCATGTCAACATGGTTGAATGATAGTTTCTCCCGAGGAATTACATTAGAAGGACAGTTTGGATCCATGGCGTGTAGCAAGAAAAAGGAGCTTTCACCCGTGGCGTCATGAGGTGCACAGTTGTAGGCAAATATTACCATAGGNAGGAGCAGGTCCCAGTTGCTTGGAACAATATTATTTTTCCTTAGCATTCTCGTTAACGTACCAATTACCCTCTCCGTCATTCTATTTTCGCGGAGTTATAGCCCTTAGTTGTGGACTGTTCAATACCTGTTATATCACATATATCTGAGAGAACAGCATTGATGAACTCTGGCCCCTGATCTGAGCGTATGCACTTCGGCCATCTGCAACCTTCACAGATCCAACTTTCAAACATTACTCGAGCTACTGTTCTTGCGGCCTTATCAGGAATGGCGTACGTTCCAGCTAATTTCGTAAAGTAGTCCACCACCACCAGGGCGTATTTATTTCCTCTTTCGGTCAATCTATATTCTACTAAATTTATTCCAATCAACTCATATGGCGCCTTCGTGGTGAAGGGCTTCAGGGGTGGGGTGTGCATTTCATGTGCTCTCGATAGAAAACAGTTTGCGCACTCCCGAGAACATTTTGCGATATCATTTTCCATGCCTTCCCAGGAAACTACTTTTTTGAGCTTGCGATACAATTTACGAGCATTTAGATATCCCACTAACAGTCCTTGATGAGCCTCTGCAAATAACTTACTTCGCCTGGATTTAGGAACTATCTCACCGTACTGTTTTCTAGGATCAATTTGAGCTCGCCATCTTCGATGAAGAGGTCGGCTACCCGGAATTTCCTGGAACACCTTGGCAATTCGACGTCTTTGCGATCGTCGTTTGCTCCAAGGCCCTCGAGAATTTCTTTGTAGTCCTGATCTTCTCTAAGTTCTTCCAACCAGACACTATCTTTTGTTGCCGCTTCGCATATCACTATGCTTGGACTTTGTTCTTCAACTAGGTTGTCATTTCCTGGTAGGCTGTAGGTACTACGAGATAGGGCATCGGCCACTACGTTAGCTTTTCCGGTTACGTACTCTATTTTCAGTCGATAGTTTTGGACTTCAAGGGCCCATCGCACCACTCTTGCCGAAATACTCGTGCGTTTGAACAGGCAAGTTAATGGCTGGTGGTCTGTTCGCACCACTACATCCGAACCGTAAACAAACAAGTGAAAATTTTTCAGGGCGAATACCACTGCAAGAGCTTCCAAGTCCGTTACATGATAGTTTCTTTCTGCTTTTGTAAGGCTCTTAGAAGCGAAAAAGATGGTATGAAGGAGGTGGTCATCAACTACTTGACAAAGAAGTGCCCCTACTCCTTCCTTCGAAGCGTCTGTATAGCTAATGAATGGTCTAGTGCCGTCTTCCGCTGCCTTTACATTTGGCTGTGCCAACACTGGTGCGGATGTCAACGCTCTTTTCAAAGACTCGAAGCTTTTGGTCTCCTCCTCAGTCCATCTCCATGGATTTTTCGGGCTGGTCAGATTGTATAGAGACTTTGCTTGTTTAGAGAAACCGGCTATAAACTTCCTATAATAGGATGCCATTCCGAGAAACGTCCTTAGTTCCGCCAGGTTTTTGGGCGTTGGGTATTCAACAATTTTGCTCACTTTGTCCGGATCTGTTTTGACGCCTTCATTATCTATCAAGTGCCCCAGGAAAGACACGCTTTCCTTGAAAAACTCGCATTTTTGGGGCTTTAAGCGCAGATTTGCTTTACGCAGCGCGTCCAACACTGCTTCCAGGACAGCATAATGGCGCTCTGTTGTTTCGGTGGCAACTAAAATATCGTCTATATAAACGAAAACTTCTTCTTCCAAGCCCAACCCTTTGAGGACCATGTCCATCATCCGTTGAAAGACTGCTGGACTGGTTGAGAGTCCGAACGGCAATACGGTGAATTGATACAATCCTTCACTTGTTGTAAATGCACTTTTCTGTTTTGCTTCGTCGGAAAGACGTATTTGCCAATAGCCTGAGGCTAAGTCCACTGTAGAGAATACTTTCTTTCCGCTCAAACATTGCAATACTGCGTCAATTTTCGGTAAGGGGTAAGAGTCTTGTCGAGTGATCTTGTTCAATTCTCTGTAATCGATACAGATTCTCAGAGACCCATCTTTCTTCCTAACCAGTACTACGGGAGATGCCCGTTCGGAACAGCTTTGCTCCACTATGCCACGGTTTACAAGGTCTTTCAGCAGCCCTCTGAATTCCTTTCGCGCAGCGAATGGTACTGGCCTTGTCTTCTGCTTTATCGGCTTGTGATCTCCAGTGTCTATATCATGGACCACTAGGTCGGTTTGCGTTAATTCTGTATCCGTTACTGCGAACACATCACTAAACTTCGACATCAGTTTGACTGCTTCATCTGTCAGCTTTGATTTCCCACTGAGTATCTCCAGTAAATCTCGCAGCCGACTGTTTTGCGAATTCTTTGCTCCAGGCTTCTTTATGTCTAGCATGTCCCTATCGGGCTCAAAATGCTTAGGCTTAATCCACTCGTCATTCCTCCACTCTCCTACGACTTCTCCTTTTCGAAGCACAACGGCTTGCGTTGTGTTGTTAGTTACTGGGTCGGCTGTCTCTTTGTTAACGGTGTTGCATATACCATCCGATATGAGAGGATGATGCGAAATCAAAACGGATGTTTCCATGCGGCCGATGTGGGCGCAAGACAACTCTACCAGCTTGGTTGCACTGGGGTTATGAAGGTTCTCTGCGCAATGTAGGCGTCCACCCCTTCCTTTTCAGTTCCACTGCGGATTCTAAGGGTACGTATTCGCTGTGGCTTTTCCTCGCCAACTTCTTGCACTAGCTTGATACTGAAGCACTTTAACGCGTTAGTCCCCAGGATCACGGTGTGATCCATGCTCTTCCCACGTGAGCTGGAATTGGTTCTTTCCTTCCATTGAGTGTTATCGAGACTCTAATCAAGTCTAAGAATGTCATTTGGTTGCCTGAGGCATCCTTCATTTTCACTTCTACAAACGGGAGTCGTTCCACATAGTCGTCAATATTTATCCCCGCCTCAATTGCTTTTTTGAGCAGTCTCACAGGTATTATCGTTGACTGTGATCCGTGTCTAGTAGTACATCCCAAAGATAGTTACGGTGGTAACTGGTCTTCTGATGAAGTATTCGTTTATGTCTGTGCTGATCGTCGTTCCCGTTGTGCAAATCCACTTATCAACAATGGATGCGTAAGTCCCTGCGGCTCTTTCTGTCTCTTGTAGGGTCTTGTGGGGTGGTACTTGTCTTTCTCTGCTCCATTGGAGCGCAGCAGTCTCTAGCAAAATGACCGGCTTTCCAGCAGTTGAAACAAGGCTGTGGACCTTTCCGCGATGGAGTTTTGTTGAGTTGATTATTTCTTATCTCTATAACTGTATTTTCTTGTGTTCTGTGCTTATCTATTTCCACTTTTCTTATTATCGGG